TTATAACAAATGAATTATAGTTAAATACAAATCATGTCATGTCAGGCCTGTATTGTTTCAATGTAATAAAAGACCTGTGCGGTTAAGATATATAAACTTAACCCGAATTTGGTGATGTGAATTAAAATGCGATACGACATACGATGAAAAGTACGATACGTACCTACCTATCGGTGTAGGTATATCGTATGGTGGTGTACCAAAACAAAACAACGGTTTATCACATAGCGTTGTATCGATACGCGTCGCGTGCGATACATATCGCCCATCTCTAGGCTAGCGGCAGACATCAGTCACTCACTGTTTGTGTTTTTTGAGATTGATAACAGTCACTGCGCTAGTATAGACACAAATAAAGAACAATAGGTTACGGTCACCGGTGACCGCACGGTGTTTGACAGTTTAAACATAATTTTAGGTTATTTTCGTTTTTGTCTAATTACTTAAAAACCCGGATATTTATGGGAAAATGAACGCTTTTATTCGATAATATAATAAGCATGGTCTATAATAAATAAAGATTTATTGTGCAACAACGTAAGACGAAATTCCATAGTTACGTGAACATTCTCCTTTACATCATTACCATAATCAGGAGTTGTTACATAGTGTGGGGTAGTACTACCATACTTCCAATTGTTTTTAATGGTTTATGTGTTCTTAAAATTCCCTTTCTTCGCAGTCTATGTTTTTAGAAATTGTATTTATTTTATTTATATGGTCGAAATTTGACCGCTACCTAGCCTGGTGGTAAGCGATATTGCGGCCAACATTGGAGCACGTCTTCCCATAAGCGACCTATTCACTCGGGCCTTGAAAACACCCGTCTTAGTAAATAGGCTATACCCGTCAGGAAACACAGACTCTAGGAAAGAATTCCACTTTTTAACAGTTCGCTCAAAGAAGCAATAAATAATAAAAAATGTTAACAGCTGTGTTTTTATTATAACTATCGTGAGTCATACTAAATTAACTAAAAATCGCGGGTTACCCACGTGAATATCAGTAGGCTGCGCGACATCGCCGCGACCGCGCACGCTGCTCATGAGGAAGAACCCCTCTGTGGTTCGAAAATAGTAGAGCTTTTCTCCATATATTCACGTGAGTAACCCGCGATTTTTTGTTAATTTTAACAGCTGTTTTATTGAAATTCTTCAATAAGACTAACGAGCTATACAAAGTAATATTTCTTTTAGCAGTCTGATGATAACACATGTCTGTAATATTCCAGCTACTCCTATCAACCAGGGACACAGAGCACGCGGCAGAGGTCAACAACCTCAGGTTTATGATACAAGACCTAGAAGCACAGTTGCAGTCTGCCAGTTATGTGAGTATATTTAGTTGAAAGAAGGCCAGCAACATACTTGTTACCCCACTGGTGTTGCGGGTGTTCATAGCCGGAGGTTATCACTTACCACCAGCCTTACTTATTGGTGTATAAAAAAGTGCTGTTAGATGTTATTATCGTATGCCCCTTTTTTTTAAGCTGGGGAAATCTTCAAATGACTTCTCCCGCCCGGGTGAGGCGGGAGTGTCAGACTCTTACTGACTAAAAACCCTGTTCCTTCTCCTGCACGTCGAGCCGGAGCCCCGGTAACCCGTTAAGTTCTTCGCGGCTTCGTATCGGCATCGGCCCTATTGGGCCCCATCTGTGGTGGTCTGATGGCTCTTTGAGGCGCGCGCGGAACGCTTGGCGTCGTAGGCTCGGGTCTGTTTCTGGTCGGACGGGGAGCCACCCATGCTCGCCGTCCGCAGGCCCGCGCTTACGGTGGCCGGAGATCGTCCCGCGATCATCGTATGCGCCTAGCGTTTGATTGGTGTTAGATAAAGTGTCTTGTCAAAGACGCTTCCCTGTGTGTCGTGTATTCTATACCTACATGACGATTGTATGATTAACTAGCTTCTGCCAGCCGTTTTGCCCGCGTTCCCGTAGCCTATATTGTGTAATTTCATACCATAATTTACCCCTGTTCCAAATTTCATCTTGATCCCTTCTCCCATTTTGACGTGAAGTAGTATCAGACAAACATACAAACTTTCCCATTTATATTAGTTAGTAGGATATCGAAATGTTGGTTATATAATTTTACAGTTGATTTTATTTGTATTCTGTTAGTAATATGTACTTATTTTTTTTATTATCCCTACTGGAGGTCCAAAAGGTTTTTTTTTTCAAGTATATTAAGGGGTCATCCATAAATTACGTCATACGAATTTTTCCCCTCTAGTGTGACGTCACTTTTTGCAGAATTACGTATGTATAAAAATTATTGAATGAAAACAGCGGTTCCGAAATCAGTTTTATTTCTATTTAAATTACTTTAAAAAATATTAATACCAAATCAAACAAAATAAAAAACATTAATACAAGTATATTTCGTGTTTTATAATAGTTTTTGAAATGTGACATCACAAAGTTTAGGATCCCTCCCTCCCCCTTGTCATACAATGTCACACTTCGTGAACCCTTCCCTACCACTTAACGTGTGACGTAATTCATGGACGGCCCCTAATATAAAACACGTATGTCTATTCCAGTCAAGTATATCATCAGAGGAGGTAGCCAAACGCGACCAGCTCCTGCACCAGTTAGAAGGCAAGGTCACCACGCTACACGCTGAACTTAAGACTGCACAGCTCAAGATATTGGAACTGGAAACAGTTAAGGTAACTATTGTTATCATTATATTTCACATGAGACGTTGAAAAGCTATGTTTTATTACTGCTGGTCCGGCTTGACTGGAGTGATATCACGACCTAACAGAAACCGGCGTGAAACAAAGCTTACCACACAATGTTAATTGATTGGTGACGAATTCACTGACGAACTTTCGTATTTTTAATATTAATTCTTTACCTCCGCTCTAATATACATTAAAAAAATCTGTAACTCACGTCCTTACTGTCTCATCTACTTCTGTTCAATATTTAATTTGAGTCCTAAATTAAAATAAAATATCTTGCTACTTTTCGAGAGAGCTCAACTAGTTTCAATCCTTACCGGGGCTCATAATTATGTCACCTAAATTTGACGAATGTAATAAGTGTTATGATGATTAAAACATCTTGAATCCTTTTCCTTCCAGTTGGAGTTCACGAAGCTCAAGTCAGGTGTCTCCGAAGCCATCAGGATATATAAAGACCAGATACAGGATCTACATATCCGGCTCAAAGAGGCCGCTACTACTGTAAGTCATATTTTTATCTTTATACTCGATAGATGTAAAATTAAGAGTTTCGTCAGTTGCAGTTTAGCCGTTTAGGAGATTTGTTACTTAGTTTACCCTCGTGCTTAAAGTTGTTACAGCCAAGTCTGTATCTCTGGTTCAATTCCCGGGTCGGATATGGAATACTGTAAACTAACTTTTGAAAGATTTTCAATAGGTAATATCGTAAATCCATGTTAATTAAAGTGAAAATATATAAGGGGGAAAATCATCCAATGTCTTCTCCCGCCAGGGTGAGGCGAGAGGGAGTGTCAGACTCTTACTGACTAAAAGCTACCCCGTTCCTACTACTTTGAGCCGGAGCCCCGGTAACCTTTTACGTTCTCCGCGGCTCCATATCAGCCCTATTGTGCCCCATCCGTGGTAGTCTTTAGTAAAAGGCGAAAGATTTATGCGTTTTGAAGGGAAACCAGAGTTTTTAGTCAGTTGGTTTTTAGTCAGTAAGAGTTTGACACTTCCTCCCACCTCACCCAGGCGGGAGCAGACATTCGATGATTTTACCCCCTTAAAAAAAATCTGGTAGTCTGATGGCTCTTTGACGAGGAAAAGGCGTGATAATAAAATGATTATCTATTGTTTGCAGGTGTTCCAACCGGTTCGATTCTCCATTAGTTCAGAGTCGGAGAACTCGTCATCGGAGTTCACGAGTCTGATGTCGAACGTGAAGCTTTATGATAAGACGTTGAAACATCTAGCCGAGTTACTGAATGCACTGACGCATGGGTGAGTAGTTCAGTACTGATACTATTTTTAAATTTACCTCTTGAATACCTGTATGGAGAAGAACGAGCAAGAAACTCCATAGGTTACTCTTTATGGCTTAAAACTAGTCGAGTTCTTTGTCAAATAGTTACGCGAGTAATCCGTAAACATATTCATTAATATAGTTGGTCTCACGATAGTTATAAATATAAACCCTTAGTCGATTCTTCTAACTCCGGCCGGAAAGAGAAAGGTTGGTGACTAATACTCTACATAACATAACATAACATCACGCCTTTTATCCCCGTAGGGGTCGGCAGAGGTGCACATTACGGCACTTAATGCCACTGTACAATGTAACACTCACTTTTCACTATTTATGTTATGAGTCCCATGTAATAGGGGGTGAACCTATTGCCATATACCGGGCACAATTCCAAACTTCGTGCTACTACTGAGATTTTTTTTAAAACCCAGTAATATTTTGCTCTTGTCCGGCAGTCGCACTTGCGACCACTCGGCCAACTAGGCAGACTAATACTCTACTTTCAATATATTTCTGTTTCCAGAATGTCAGATAGTCTAGTCCAAACTCTCGGTTTGATATCGAGCCTCCACGACTACAAGCTGGAGAGGGTGACAGCAGAACAGTTCAAAGCCGGTCTCACTGATATTAAGCAGCAGATGGAGAAACAACATAGCACTGCGCTTAATAATATGTAAGTAGAGTAAATTATTAATAATACATTATAATTCATCATCATCATCAACAGCCTATAAACGCCCACTGCTGAGCAAAGCCTCTTCTCACACGGAGAAGGTTTGAGCATTAATCATCACGCTTGCTCAATGCGGTTTAGCGATTACAAACTTATAATTAGAAATTATAAGTCCAGGTTTCCTCACGATGTTTTCCTTTACCGTTTGTCAGTGGTGTTTGAATAATATAAATAATATAATTATTATTTAATTGTATTCATTAATTGTTATTTTGTATTTTTAAAATATTGCTAGTGTCTACTGAGTCCAGTGGTTAAGGCTACGGAGTCAGGTCTTGAGTTCGATCCTCGGGTCAGCCAAAATATTTTCGGTTTACGGGAATTTAAGTGTTTGGCATTTATTGTCGAGAAGTGGGGGTTATATTTGATATGCAGACCAACAGATGTCTGCCTACTTTTTGAAGAAATATAGGGGTGATGATGTGTAGTTACCTAATAACTCCCACTTTTTATATTTGTAACTTGAATGGGTACAATTTACTGTTAATTAACATGTCGATTTAAAAAAAAATTAACATAATTCTATAATTTTATTTTTCCCTTCCAGAGGTCAAGTCAGAGGCACGCTCTCAATATTCGAAGGTATATTCAAGGACTACAGCGAAGTCCTGAAGAACACAGTAGCCCCGAAGCCCCGCCTAGAGCGCGCCTCTAACGTGGAAGCTCTCACCGCCGCGCTCGTAGCTCGCGGCCACGAGCTCGCGCAGCTACAGGGCGAGCTCGCCAGGCTCAGGGGACAACAGGATGATACTGAACTACTTAAAGCTCAGATGGATTTGTATAAGTAAGTTTTTTTAATTAAAACTTTAAAATTTGATACATATAAGAGAATTGACGCATATATATTTATAGAATACAGCAAAGGAGCAAAAAAATCATCGAATGGTAAGCAATCGTCGACACCTGTAACGCCTGTGCCTTTAGTCAAACGCCACTTTAGCGCCTGTCTACAGAGAGAGTAGAAAACTAAATGTATGGGGATGACACTGACAAGTGTTAAATTTTACGTCAATTCCATATAATTTAGTTTTCTATGCTTCATGTAGACGAGCGCTAAGTGGCATTTGGCTACTGCTGCAGGTCTGAAAACGAGAAGTGATTGGACCTCCAGTGACGTCACTCACACGGCTGCTCATTACGCTTCAGTTGTTTCACGCTGGTATTCTGCCTTTCCCACTTTGAACTTCTCTAATTTCAATCTTAATTTTAGGGAAGTTGTGTTCTTGATTCAATACTTGACTGCACGGTTGGTGCGGTGGCTGGGCGACCGGCTGCCGCGCTACGTGTCGCGGGTTCGATTCCCGCACGCAACAACACTTTGTGTGATCTACAAATTGTTGTTACTGGTCTGGGTGTCATGTGTATGTGAACTTGTATGTTTGTAAACGCACCCACGACACAGGAGAAAATCCTAATGTGGGGCAACGTTTTTTTTTAAAAAAAAAAAGTGCGAGTCTAACGCTCGAATACTGTAAGGCTACTCAATTTTAAGTTGTACTGTAGGGTTGCTTGTTGTGAATTAAAGCCTCGATGTTCTTGATGATCATTTATTTATTGGCAACTTCACTGTTACATACATCACTACATAGTATAAAACAAAGTCGCTTTCTCCGTCCCTATGTCCCTTTGTATGCTTAAATCTTTGAAACTACGCAACGGATTTTGATGCGGTTTTTTTTTATTAGATAGAGTGATTCTTAAGGAAGGTTTATATGTATAATACATGTGTATTGCACCCGTGCGAAGCCGGGGCGGGTCGCTAGTTTACTATAAATTAATCAAGATAGTTGCAGCCCTAAGTGGAGGGATGAAAGGAACTGCTGGGCTATCGTCTTTCAGACCTCCCCTAGCTGGCTAATTCCAGAAGACCGCTAGGCTATCGAACTGGAGTTAGTCGTGCTTAGGTTCAGAGAAGGCTGCGTGGCTACCGAACTCTGATCCTCTAGCTAGTAGAATGATGATTTGTTCGAAGACTCTGTTTGAGACTGCCTCGTTGGTCGAGTGTTCGCAAGTGCGACTGCCGGGCAAGGGGTCTCGGGTTCGATTCCCGGGTCGGGCAAAGTATTACTGGGTTTTAAAAAAAAAATCTCAATAGTAGCACGGAGTCTGGAATTGTGCCCGGTATATGGCAATAGGCTCACCCCCTATTACATGGGACTCATAACATAAATAGTGAAAAGTGGGTGTTACATGGTACAGTGGCATAATGTGCACCTCTGCTTACCCTTTCGGGGATAAAAGGCGTGATGTTATGTTACAACTCTGTTTATAAAGGCGGATAGTTTGCATGTGTGCTCAATCTTCATAAAAGTTGTTTGTAGTTGTTTTGGATATATTATACTACTAGCGACCCGCCCCGGCTTCGCACGGGTGCAATATGCATGTATTATACAAACCTTCCTTAAGAATCACTCTATCTATTAAAAAAACCGCATCAAAATCCGTTGCGTAGTTTTAAAGATCTAAGCATACATACGGACATACAGCGAAAGCGACTTTGTTTTATACTATGCATTGATAGTCCATCTGTTTAGGTAATTAACTAAAGGTAAACAAAAAAACCACGTGACACAGAGATACTTAACCTTCTATTACTTCAAATATATCTCGTGTTTTAATTTAAACTAAATTTACTTTAAAATCGTTCATTTGTCACACACACACATACGCTTGTATGTACAAGCACAAATGCCTAAATCGTACAAGAGTCTAGCCTATGGGTCTATTTCATTATCATGTTTAAATAGAAACTATTCTGAATCTGATGTACGGATTTCTTTCTTGTACGGATATGTGTCTTTAGGCCAAGTTTCTTCAATATATTTGAACACATTAATTACAAACGATAAATAACCTAAACTTAAATAACTTAATAACAAAAACAAAACAAAGAAACAAGATAAATTCAACAAAATAGGAACGCGAGCGCAAACGACGAGAGAGCTGTCAATGGCGCCTGATTAACCGACTAAACGTGATACACGCTACTTTCATTGTCGCGCTACATCTTAGTTGTACTCTTTAATTTGACAACATTATCTAATGCTTCGTTCTAAAGAAAGGTTTTGGATACCTGGGATTTTAGGCTCTTTATGGTGTCTATTGTAATGAAATATTATATTATTTAATAAATGTTATTATATTATTATGCTCAAGCAGATATATAATATAATATTTACTAAGAAATAAGTGAAAAGGAACAGAAACATAACATTTAATAGAGAAAACTGTCATATAAATGAAAACAATTTTATTTTCTTATGAAGTATTTTGAATCATGGAAATGTCAACTATAAAGAACTCTTTTTATGGTTTGTTTACAAATAGTTAACTACCTAAACAGACGGAGTATAGGTGGCGCTGGGTGTTCGTTACAGTACTTAAGAATTTGTAGCGACAGAACTATTCTTAAGCGCGACTTAAAATTGCGTGGTATTTGAGTATTTCGACATAATACCTTTAAAAATCATTTCATTATGCATACTTAATGTTACTGTTACTTTTCGTACAGGAGTGACTTCGAAGCGGAGAGAGAATCGCGTCAGAAGATGGCGAGTGAGAAAGAGAACCTACAGACAGATATCAGGACATTACAGAAACGGAATCAGGAACTCACGCAACAGGTTCGTTGACACGTAAATAATAATAAACCAGCTGAGCCGGCAAACTTCGTACCGCCTAAACATTTATTTCTAACCTTTTAAACCTTCCCTGGACTATGAACATTTCAAGACCAAAATTAGCCAAAATTGTGAGACTAACGAAC